ACCACAAGAGCCAGAATTTGTGCAAATTGTGATATAAAAATGGCCCTTCCTGCTCACAATTAACCGTAAGCAAAGTTGTTTGGACTCCAAACATGGTAAATCCTTTTCCGGCTTTCTCGCCTCAAATATATATTTTAAATAATGTCTCACTAAGAAACATTTGGCTGTGCATATTATAGTGGTCACACACAAAACAGGGGACTGGATCAGCAGAAAGTCAAACTGTTCCCTTATAAAGGGATATTCAACTAGCCAAGAGATGGGTAATAAACAGGCACTAGTGTTAGACCCATCGACACGTTTCTTGACAGGTTTAAGCACAACATATGAGCAAATAATAGTCACTGCAGAAATGTTTGTGATTTGCATGCAAAGCTAACAAGTAGCATTCACTGGCAAAACCGTCTCAAAGTCAATATGTTGAATTCAATTCAATTGCACTCATTCAAATCAGATACAGTATCCAAAAACCTGTCATCTAGTATATGTTGTTTCATATAAATAATTATATATAAATTAATACAGCAGCAATTTGTTTGGTCTAAAGCCTGGTTTTTATTGCAACAGAAATAGTTTTCAAATTTTGTCATTTTGGGATAGGACATGTGTATTAATTTTTTTCTGCTTTGGAGTTTATATGATAAGTCTGACAGTTTGCAATATGAAAAATATTTAATTTCCGATACTGAATCAAAACTTGTGCTCAAACCAGGTGCAGGGTGGCAATATGGCGCTATGCATACCTGGCCATTTAGTCTATTTTGTGATGAAACTTTGAGGTTTTACACATTGCCGTGTATTTTGTACTTTCACTGCGTGTTGAAATGTATCCATCGATGCCCATTCTTTCAAAACCCCAAAATGTAAACATAGCATTGCAGCTCCCCTTTAAGTTGAAGTTTTTCTAACTGCTAGACTCCACCAAGTCAACGCCCATGGGGTGAAGAGTTGGCTTTTAGCCAAAGCAATGTAGCAATCACTGATTCAGATAGATGGTCAGAACACATTACAGCAGGATTTTTAACACGCATGTGATTGTATTGTGAAGAGCAATTGAAATCTCCATTAGTGTTATCCACTGCAGAACGAATATTGAAATTTAGGTTAAAACTCATGATCTGGATTCCCCATTAGCTAAATGTTCTTACAATGTTCTTGTAGACCAAGAAATAGCACATAACATAAATGGTGGTCCTATTAAACGTAAAAGTACAACTACTCGAATAAACGAGATGATAATTTACCATAGCAAATGATTTCACTAGAAACTATAAGAAGGTAACATATAACTCAAAGTAGCTTAGATCAAGATAAAAATGTCAAGAGTTCCATGAAAAGCTACATCTCATTATTTTTATTCCAAACGGATGCACTACACAAATACAGTTCATTTTTAACTGACACAGCTCCAGTTCATATGGTCACTATGAGCATTAATTTCCCCTCAGGCATTTGTAATCACAAATGTGTATTTAGGACAAATAATATAAATCTATTTACTTAGTAGATATATAAACTCACCATACATTGAAGATAATCTGCCATTTTAGGTATTAGGAGAGTTAGTTTTCCATTTCATTGGGAAAACAAGTGAAATGCTTAAAATGAAAAAAACAAAAGAAAATATTCACTATGGCATCCATGTACTTAGTACAAGACCAAAAGGCTATTCAAAAAGGGATTATTTTGTACATTACAATGTGAAAATGTAGTTTGTTGTCGATGTATTACTGTGGATTTGACCTTTGCTCCTTTTAATCTGTTTCTTTGATCATACTAGCCTCTTAACCAACAGCTCACCTAGGTAATGAAGCATCTACCTACTGTAATGACGTGGCAAGGTGAAAAAGTAGCCTGACCTAACTGAAAGCAAGTCTCGGGCAACGGCAAGGTGGGGAACCCCGCATCAAAAGAAAAAGGGGAGCCAACAAAGAAAAGAAAGACACAACAAATAAGCCCAGCACCATGGGCTGCAGTGATAAAGAACAGTTAAAGCACTGAAATGAGTAACCAAGCGCAAAAAGGTAGAGAAAAAAGAAGCACCGCCATAAGGAAACCAAGAGGTAGCAAACACAAAGTAGCTCAGCTAATGACAGAGCTCTGAGTGAAAATGGGAATGATACAGAAGTAATTAAATAACAGATTCATTCGCCGCTCACCGTGAAAGTCATACATTCGTGTGTATGTGCACCAAGAAAGAATACATTCATGCGTATGTGCACCAAGAAAGAATATATTCGTGTGTATGTGCACCGAGAAAGAATACGTTCATGTGTATGTGCACCGTGAAAGTATACATTCATGTGTAGGTGCACTGTGAAAGTATATATTCATGTGTAGATGGACCGTGAAAAAATACATTTGTGTGTAGCAACACAAACTTGTCTCTTTCAAACTAAAATTTTCTGAAGCCCACTGTTATAAAGATGGCAATTTATTTCATACCATTTTGATAATTTAATTTTAAGAAAAACAGAACAAGCACAAGGAGTACAAAGACACGCCTCAATACACATAACCTTTAGTTCTTTGCACCCGTTCTCTGAAAACTTTGTAACTGAATGGCTGATTGGTCACACAGGAAATTGAGAAGAGTATGCTATTTCTTTTTCATTGCAACTAAGAGAACAAACAGAGCTTAAACAAAATACAACACCAGCAGTATCCAGAATATTACAGAATAGAATTACATGAGACTAACTAACCACTGATAAGATGAAAGATAATAGTGTAAATTACACTATCCACAATCGACAAACACATATATAAATGTATAGAAATGTCCTTGAAAGAAAAAAAGAAGTTTAAAATATCAGTCTTTCTTGTACAGTATATAGCCAATTTTAGGATTTTACTCTATCTTCCTCAAGTATTCAGAATTCTTTGCTTTGCAGTAATATTTGTTAACACCTTGATAATCTTGCAAATACAGAGAGAGATAATGATAAATGATTTATCCAACTAGGATCAATGACTTATTAAAAAGGCATCCTTTCCAAATTAGTATTGCAGATAGCAATTTCTATGTACAAAAGAGAAAAGTAAACTTGTATTTGTACAGCTGTAAAACAGTTGCTTTGATGAAAAGATGAATAGATAAATATTTGTTTTATTCCTTAACATGTAGCATGTATTGATAGTTTCCAAAGATCACTACATCACAAATATTGTATTTGGATATTTTGGATAGGATGTTTTTCCTAATTGTCTTGATTATTTAGTGGTTTATCCAATAAATTAAGATTGTTAACATCTAATAAACTCTTTTAACTTTGTATTAACTGGAAAACTATGGTTTTAAATCCCAGGTGAGACACTTCAGTTGTACCCTTAAGCAAAAGGACTTCGGTCAATACTTTACTAAAATGTCCAGAACTGTAAGTCAATTTGGATAAAATCTTCTGACATTTTTCTTATGAATAATAAGCAGATCTGTGATCAATAACACCCAAAGATCTTAAATTAGTGACTGGCAACAGCAAGCTAAAGAGGGAAGGAGCAGTATGGTGGGAAACTGCAGTGGAGAGAGAATGAACAGCCCCTTCCACAGGGAGATTAAGCAAAACAAAACAGTCAACATCCACCCCCCATTACTAAACCATCTTCATCATTATTAGGACTATCATTAATTTTTGTCCTTCAAAGTGGAAAAAAAAAGAGTTCCTATATTGTATATTAAAGGCCTACAGAACTGCTATGGTTCTCTAAAATAGAATTATCTATACTTACAGCCAAAGTAGGATCCTGACTGTTCTCTAATGATTAAGCTGCAGCTGAAGAAAAACATTTTTGTCTTTGAACCAATTGCATACAATCATGGGGTAAACATGCGAGACTTTAAACAATTCTACCTATACTCAGACTCTTAAAGGTCATTCTTCTTCTGAGTCCAGATGCCCAGCATCAGTCCTAATGAACCTGGATATCAGCTTCTGTTGTATTTCCTTGCATTTGTGCTAACAGACCTATTGCATACATATGCAATGACATCCGTCTGAAACTGACACATTATCACAGGTGCCACATAAGCTTTATGAAGCATAACTGATTTAGCATTTTAACACATTTTAATATAGGCCTATGTTAACCCAGTGAAGTTCTTGATAGAGCAAACTGGCAAACCAGGAAGCACTATATTCACACATAAGACTACTCACAAAGTAGCATAAAATTCTAGGAAATAATTTTTAAGAACTCTAGGCACTTACAACTTAATCCAATGTACTTCCAGTCATTAGTCATTTACAGCCATTTACAAGTTGATTGTAAAGTTATTTTAAAAACTAGTCATTTAGAAAGACTGTACTAAATAATGGAATAATGCAATGTAAAGCACAGTTTGCCTTATTTGTTGAAATAAGTATGAATTCATTGCAAATTATATCATAGGTAGAATTTGGCATCCATTTCAATAAATGTAAAAAAGCCTTAGAGGTAACTTTAATTTTCTACTGCTGAATGATGTGAAAATCTAATCTTATTCTATAACAATACTGCATCTAAATGTAATAATCTCAAAATTAAGTTATAAATAATTTAAAACATGTCATGAAGATGCATTAATAATTCAATGGATAAATAATTTACTAAATAATCAAATAAATAAATAATGAAATGCATAAATAAATCATCAGATAAATAATTCCACAAAGCAGCCCAAACAAGAAGTCACAGAAACAAATAGCACAGCTACAGGACTAATAGTATTTTTCTACAGTTCTGATAATTTTATGTTTGCAAAAATGCAAAACCCAATTTTCATTGGAGAAGTATATTTTTCACTGCCAGTAGAAATGATTGTATATGTAATACACATGGATATACTTTCAGATTTTAAAATAAGATCCTGGTATATTTTCTCATGAATTATTGAACTATTTCTGCTTATGTACAGTATCCTGTATTGCATTTCATAAGTTATTTATTTTTATGACTTATTTATTTTAAGATTACACATATTGCATCATTTCAAGTAATTTTGCTTCATTTCTAATACCCACTTTTTATGGTTCTATAGGACTCACTCCCAGCTAAGTTAAAGGCCTGAAAGATAAAATTAACAATATGACAATTTCTGGACAGCAAAATATCCCAAATTCATTTACTTCTCAAAACAATGGAGGTAGTTAATTTCCTGAATGTATGGTTTATGAAAAAAATCATTAAAAATTGAGTATTTTTTACATTTATAATGAGAACCAAAACCAATGGTGGGAAATTGGGAATGTCAAAGTCATTTTTTAAACAAAGCTCCAAGCAAAAAATAAAATATGTTGTGTTTCTACTACTAACATACATAAAAGTTTTCTCTATAGGTCACACAAGAGGCATGTCAAATTCTTTAAATCTAGAACTACAATACCTGGAACATAATATCTTCCATACATCATAACTTCACCAGACATAAATTGAATTCCATTTTTGCATTGTAAATGGAAAAACACATCTGTTCAATATCAGATCATCTTAATAATACAGTACTTCAACACGACTTCAAATGTCTACACAATGAATATACAGCCACATCACAAATGTGCTCAAATTTGACCTAACCCTTTTCCATTGTGAACACCCCTTTACTTTACCCTTGAAAGAAGGCTTCTTTAAACATTTTTAATAAATTTCAAGACAAAGTAATTTACAGCATGCATGAATCTCATCTAAAAAGCCATATAAATTGAAAACTCTATACACAAGCAATCTGTTTTACTTCCACTGTATTTGTATCTGGTTACTAAGTTTTCCCTAAACAAGAGAAAATATCTTTCTTTTTGTTGAATGAGGAGTTATGCACTTGCTGCCTGTGTCCCTTATGAGAGGCAGATTACAGATAAGAATGCTCTCATCCCCTGGTGTCAAAGACACTGCCCTAGTTTGCTTCTTCTCTTCTCATTGTCTATGCAGCTTGCCTGGCCTAGTCTACCATCTGCTGTGTTGTTAACCTGCAGGCTGCTGCTCTGAATCACCACAATCATGCTGATGAATAAAAAGAGCATTTTAGTCATCCATGGGTCCGGTCTCCCTTGGCAACGAAGGTACTGGTTGTAGGGTGGTACGACTATACAAAGTGAAATTAAATTGACATACATCGTTCACATTTTCAATTTTCCACCCCAAATGACCAGTGCCTGGATAACTAAAAGTGATTTTAAAATGAAATGAATGCCAAATAATTATAAGAATGTAGGAAAAGAAAAGATGTAAAATATCTCTTAGCCTGGGGTAGTCATGAAGAACTCCTGAATTGCAAATGTTCAACAACAAAATAAAATGTAAAGTCTCTGAAAAGGGTGTTATATACACAACAGAGAAACATATTTTCCAGTGAAGACTTGGATAAGATCAACCAGTCATGAACTTAAGTTATTTTCTAGGATCTTTTAACATTTACCCAGTCCCTTTTAGAACTAATGAGGCTCACTGTATCCATAAGATACATGCATCTATAACACGAAAAGGGAAAATACAAAATTCCAAGGGCTGGGCCTATTTCTTCAATCAAACATTTCACCAACAGTCATTTAGGGACACATAAATGAGAAATTATTTATGTATGCTTATGATGGGCAGTGCTTAGGATAAAAAAGTGTTGCAAACAAAACATTAAATTGGGCCTACTGAGGTATCTAATCATGCCAGCTGGTTATTATCCAGATAACAAAGAAAAGAACTAAAGACACGCAGTGTATGGCTATGGAACTGAAGTATAGTGTCAGACATTCCCAGTATGGATGTTTTTACCAATCTGTAGAAGAATCTACACTGCTCCAAATAATCCTGTTTTGATCATTTGTTAATTTTCCATTACAAGTTGAGAGAACCTTGCCCCGATTGGGGACACCAGGACTCACCACTGGAGCCATGTCTTAGGGTGGTGTTCGCCAGCGACCACCTTGAGGCTGGGCCACCCACTTTACCCAGCCAGGCTATGTGGCTCCCAGGCTGTGTGGAGCCATCTTGTGAGCCTTACCAACCGCACAATGAAGGACATGGGCCAGGTGCAAGGCAAGGCATGTGACAGGCATGTACAGGACATCTGGAAGGACTATAACTTGGCAATGGAAACCGGCTCTTGGGATGGAACATCACTTCACTTGTGGGGAAAGAGCCAGAGAAGGCTCAGGAGAAGAAAAAAGTACCATCTAGACATGGTTGGTCTAACCCACCTGCGGGTAAACTACGGCCCGCGGGGCTGGATCCGGCCTGCCAGCCAGTTTTATCCGTCCCTTGAGGTAAAAAATAAATTAGTAAATATTCGCCATATTCCACTTTGTTTGGTGCTGTTTTTTCTTACATTTCATTATTTGTGCTGTTAGATGGCACACAAACGTAAGTGATTCCAAACTATGCATCGCGCCACCTTGGGGAGGCGCCATTGTCGGTCATGGGCATCTCGGGTATCGCCAGTCAAAAAAAATTATTACGAGCAAAACCCGCTGTTCGTGCACACAGAATGTATGAGTCACACGCTACCTAGCGGATTTGAAGGTACTAGATTGTGTCACATGACACTGGCCATGAGAGTCAGCAGTCTGTAAGCAATGTACCAGTTCGCCATAGCTTCGGTGTTTCATGTTTCTATGAGTGGTAATTTTGTGAGCTTTTTGTTTTTGTTACACGATTGCAATTGAGAGGTTTTTAATTATGAGTAAAAAACGTGAAGGACAAGGAGCCTTGTTCTAAAGAGAAACAGAAACGCGAAAACAGAAAGTATGACGATAGTTTCTTGAATTTCAGTTTCACATGCACAATAGTGGACACTGAAGAATGTCCTCAGTGTATTGTCTGCCTTAAAGTGTTGGCTGCTGAGAGCATGCTCCCCAATAAATTGAAACGTCATTTGGAAACTGTTCACAGTAGTTTGATAAGTAAGCTTCGTGAGTATTTCTCACACAAGTTAAACAAATGAATAGAAAGCTGCTTTTTCTAACCAAACTACAGTCCCCAGCAAAGTTCTTCTTTCATCATACAAAGTAGTGTACCGAGTAACACTATGCAAAAAACCTCATACTCTTGGAGTACCAAGGAATAAGCAAGGAGAGCTCTGTGAATTCTGCTTCCATTTGCAATTTCCTGCCTTTGTGAGGCTGAGCTTTCAGCACTTGCATTTATCAAATCCAAGTTCAGATCCAGAGTCAATGTTGAGAAGAAGATGCACGTTGCAGTTTCCGAAATACAACCCAGTATTTTTGGTGAATTATGTTAACATAATTTATTAAGCAAGCCCACCTACCCATTAAGACGCACAAACAAAAAAACATTGTGTTACCCCCCCCCCTTTAAAAAACATTGACGGAAAATTTTTACTTTTTTTACGTTATTTTATTTGCATTTTACAAAGATGCTGACTCATTTTGAATTTTTTTTCAAATTGTTTTTTACATTCAAATAATTTCAATAAAATTTGTTGTCAAGTATTTTTACTAGTTTGATCAAAGTGTTTTGGTTTCGAAAATGATTCAAAATAACAAAAATTCGATCAACTTTGTTTTTATTTTTACCCATCATTTCCTTTTCAAATGCATCATCTTTTGTAAAATATCGCACTGCCATAGAACTTATTTTTTAGACAGGGGAGGCATGTGGAAAATTTGACAGCCCAAGGGAGGCATGGACCCAAAAAGTTTGGGATCCCCTGCTTTACCAATTTGATTCACCAATCAGAGTGGATCCTTCGTACTGCGAGGGAACCCGCGTCAAAATGAGGTTGGATCAAAGGCTATATGTTTAATTTAAAAGAAAAATGTCCCAGTGTTCAAAGAATACAATCTCTACCGAACATGCTAACTATGCTAGCAATCTGTCATGCGAGGAGTAGGCTAATAGAGCTTCCAAACTAGCCGCTAGTTTACAGGCTCAGCAAAATGTATTTTTCCGCCCTTCTACCATCCAAGAGGCCAGCACAAAGGCAAGCTACCTGCCTGCAGATAAAATTGCTAAACAAAGCAGGCCATTCTCTGAAAGGGAGCTTTTGAAGGAGTCTATGACATAAACTGCAGATATTTTTTGCCCAGAGAGCAAGAGCAAATTTGAGAAAATAAGTTTATCACGAAGAACAGTTTCCCCTCAGGTCAAGGTAATCGGTGAAAATGGCTTGTGAGCTGAACATCACTATTATTACATTTTTATTTTTTTATATTTACTTTTTCTTTCCCCTCTCAGGTTATCGTTAACCTTGAACAAATAACCCTATGTTGGATTTTAAACTTATATAGGGCATAGGCTATCTGTAACATCAGCCTGAAGTGGTCTGCTATACAGTTTCAAATGTTTATGTGTCTGTCCATAACAAAAACCATGTTCGAACACAAGGTGGTTCATAAATCAACTAGGTGCTACTGGTATGTGACGGGCATCATGATATACATGGAGGAAAATGCTGCAAACTTAAGTTAACTAAAACAATATTAAAGCACATTTAGAAAGGTCACTGAACATCTCGATTCACAATTCAGCATGCCATCTCTTAGGTTACTACAGGGATTATGTAACATATTTTTGTTTACATTTTGTTTGTTAACATTTTTTCTTTACAAAAATGGGGTAAACTCTTTGTATTAACAGATAGACAGAATTAGTCAATATTAAAGGAATATGGAGCCCTTTGGTTATATACAACATAATACAGGGTTGCTTTGGGGACAGCTTTCATCTGATATATTTCCATAAATATGAAGAAATATATCCATTCTGTGTAGAAAAAAAAACATTTTTCTACCTGCCCCCCCATACCTGTCAAAACATTGTATTCCTGTAGTATAACCAGTCAACAAAGAGCTGTAATAAAGATGAGGGCTTTAAATGAATGAACTACATGATTTCTTTAATAATATATTGCCCCCAATATGACAAATTTTCAATTTGATCATATCGTAATGTAGGTTTGTTTTGATCCCTATAACGGAAGATGAACACAAGCACGAAAGCTAAAAACTTTAAAGCTCTTACCTCTGTAACCCTTGTGTTGAATCCTTGTGTTCTACTCTAGGGAAAGGGTAGAAGAGAAAGAAAATGAACAATAATAATAATTGTTTTTAGCCTCAAGCTGTTTTTCCAAACAACTGTAACGTGTCTAAATATAAAGAGGTATACATATTGACTCTACATTAGCAATATGTAGTACTTTTCTTGCTTTATTTTGTATTCTGATTAAGTACATTGACAACTAGTGGTCATCTTGAAAAATTGCTTGTGCACTAGTCTCCAATGCCATTAAACAAAATTCCTGGCCAAGATAAAATAATAGAAGGATATTTTATACCATTTATTTAAAACCCCAGGGGTCATTTATGTTTAATGTCTGTTTTATGTTAAATCTGCTCAATATTAATGTATGATATTGTGTGTACTCAGTCAATAAATTAGATATTTTTTTAAACCAAAGGTACACAACGTCATTTGTACAAACAATGTTCTGTCAGTTATGACCACTCAGAATGGCAATTTACAATTGTCCATCATGATGTCTATTGCACAAATATGTTTTACATTCATTACTTTTCCTCCTGATACAATAGAAAAAATAAGTGAAAATTTATTACCACAAAATTTTCTAAACTCAAGAACATTGATTTAGATAAGGGGTACAGAGAAGGTCTCCACAGCCCAATTGTTTTCAAACCAGTGATTTTCTTGCCCTTCTCACCATCACATTAATGGCTTTGAACTCCTACAAAGTCCCTAACCCTCCTTGGGAAATAATTTCTTAAATCAGTGAAAAGAAAAGGATAAAGTGCACAGGAATTGTGATATCCTGGGAATTGCTGCATCATTTAGTCTCATGAGGCACAAGATGCCTACTAAATGTTTGATTTCTTGGTTTAAGACTGTATTTTATTTTTGTTTTGATGCTGTGTATAAAGTGACAAACATTTCAGTTATTTGCAATTTTCAGTCACAATGTGTAGTTGGCATACTTGTACACCCTATCAGATTCTTAATATTTATGTTTTAAATTAAATTACTTAATATTACAATTTTAAGATATAAAAAATTAACTTTTATAATGCATAAATAATTTTCACAAAACTAGTAAATTAAACATCGTAAACTTTAAAAGTATTTCATTACATATGATAGAATTAGAAAATATCCACAATGTACCTTTTAGTAGCAAATTATTCCAATGAACAAAAGGCTTTTGCATACAAAACGTAAGGACTGACAAGACCTTATTTATTCTTAGTGTCTTAGTGTCAGCAAACATACTTACCCCTCTGGTGGACATATTCCTAACATATCATACAAAATATATGTGTAAGTGTTCTGCTAACTTGAATTTACATTTCTTGTGTCACAAACTGGGGAATGGTGCTACTATCAAATGGGAAGGAATAAAGTATTAAATAAATGTCAGGCTAGGCCCAAAACACACAAAGATTACTTTCCTTACAATCTCATGTTGAGTAATGTGAATTGTGTATACAATGGCGTTGTTCCTCCATCAGGTATCTTAACAATAATCAGAATTTTTGGCTGAAAATTAAATATATTTAAGACTTTATTCTACTTAGAGAAACATATCTTGATTATTGTTTTACAAATTCCATTCCATATAGAAAAGTCTATATTTATAAGTAAATGATTATCAACAACTTCTAATGTTTAAATCTTATTTTACAAGCCTTGCTGTACAATCTACAATATGTGGACTATCAAAAAAATGTGATACACAGGCTAATAATATCACATATCTTTATTTGTTTTCCCCAACCTCCACACTACATTCGACAAGACAAAATATAAATATCAGTGTAATTTACTGACCTTTTAACATCTACAATTTTAATTCCAATATAGAAAAAACAAACTTAAAATGCAAAAATTCATCATATTTTGTATAATTATTATCTACTTAACAGACACTGTAATTCCAAAAAATGAAGACTGAGCCACAAAAAGTTAAAATCACATTTTAATTCATATGTTAAAAGTATGACTTAATTAAATGTACTGTCACAGTATCTTTACAGAAGAAAAACTGTCCAGAAATGTATATACACAAACACAAAACGTGCATAACAATTTTTCAACTGTTTAGAAGTTGGAGCCTTTGTATTTACATTATAATGGAGCTCCTTTTCATATGGTTTCTTGTTTTGAAATTCAGTCTGTAAATTACAAGCTGTCTATTATATTATACCATTTATGTATGAATTTATTTAGCAAAAGGGTTCCCCTGAGATTTTTAACAGTAAACATTTGAAACTCATTATGAACTCAGTTTTTCTAAATAAAAATATCATGAAATTTTTATTCTATATTGTTAATGCAACTTTTTAATAAAATAAATCCCTAGATAAAGGTGGTGGCATTTTTCAAATATCCATACCTGCTTAAAGGTCTCATACCTGTTTAAAGGTCCTATACCATTCATATGCAGAAAGTGGATAGTTTCAAATACTTGTAAATATGCCCTTATGAAAAATCTGAAAACCTGAAAATGTAAATTCATAGAGAACAGCTATTACTGCAGTTAAGAAATGCACTGTATAATATGCTACATACAATAAATACCATCATATCCAATGAAGCTGAGTGAATATTACGCTACCCCTTGAGAAAACAGCAGCATTATACAGCATTGGAAAGACAAGGAATTAGACACAAGGAAAAAACTGCTAAACATGTCCATAGGGGGTTGTTTCAGAATGGTCTGAAAGTCATGCATTGCTGGACTAATAATTCAAATTTGTCTTGGGTATTCTCATACTCTAGTTGTAAATCTACTGTAGCATGATGACAAAACTTTGCCAAGACAGAAGACAAAACACAAGAGTTCGTCCAAGTACTTAGCACCACCTCTGATAATTCTTTATAATTTCTAAATATGTATTTCCTTACCTTGATGTATTAAACATAAACATTAACATTTATCCTGGGTTCGGCAATGTTAAGCAAACTGCATGCAATGTAGTACAACTCTCACTGGTTTGGACACATGTCCATCACAATTTTATTCGCAACAGTCCTCATTTTAACATTTTGGTCAGCTAGTGCAATTAGGGGAAAAATAACTCGCACAGGGGTACAACAACTATTTCCAGAAAGGCAACTTGAACCAGCACCCTGCCAGCTGAGACCCTAGTGCCCTAACCAGTACTACTACAGTATATTGCATTCAATTTTAATTTGTTTGGGGTGTAATGGTGTTTGATTTCATGCAACTGTACCACTTGGCATTATAACTTTCTCAAGAAAAGCAAACTGTTTTGGTTTTACATTTAAAAACCATCAAATCAAGTCATATAGTAGTAAAAAGTAACTTGTGGTGCTGTAGGAACTATTTTATTGATGAATGCACAAACACTGGCATTTTATATACAGTAAAATCAGCATGACTTCTGTAGCAGCTGACCACTAAATAACTTCTTCCCACCTACACAACATTATACTTTTATGCGGGGTTCCTTAATTTACCACAAAATGGTGCTTAGTGAAGTTCATTGCTTTTATCTGACTTTCAAAATTCTCAGACTGCTTCACTTTGACAGACACTATTCTGTCATATTCCCTGCAGTTCCTATTTCAGAAGGTATTTAGTACTATATTTTTACTTCTCACAACATTAAGAACAGAAATCTATGATTCTATATATATTATAAGGTATGAAAATTATTAAATAGAAAAATGCTTTGCCACCAAATATCATGTTTTGCTGGAGAAGTCAGAGAAAGTGAAGTTTAAGAAAGAAACAACCTCTATATTACAATTAACGCGTTGCATGTAACTTGATTCAATACCAAATTACCCTTGTGACCATAAATTATGATGAATTGAGAAGTTATATTTATAATATCTCCCATGGAACATGGACTTATAACTTAATTTTTACTTTGAAGCACATTTCTAAATGTTTCAAATGATGGTCATTAAACATTTTATGTGTATCACACAATGGCATGACAGAATTAATGTTTTATGATTTGTAAGACAGTATAATGAATAAAAATTTAGACTTGCACCTGATTTCAAAGTTTTTTTACATTTCACCTAAATTATGCACTTGTCCCTAGGTCATTTTTCAGAGTTGCCTTTGGAGCCTTTCCGTGCAAAGAAGCAAAAGAAATGTTATTTCCTTCTGCATGAGAAAAAGCATTCCACAATTTTAAAAAGAGGAAATTACATCACTTTCACCTAGGGCAGACATAATCAAATACTGGACTTTCCAATCCATTTTCGCAAACTTCAATTTGACCAGATCCTTAACTACGTTAATTAACAAATCAAGAGACATCTGTGCAAAACAAAGCAGTGGAGAGGACTGGAAAGTCCAGTTTTTGGTTACTTCTAACCTAAGGACTGTTTATTTAGTTCATGTTCTTAATGTAATACCCATCTTTGTCTTCAAAAATGTGCATAAATGAATGAGATGTTAGTTGGATTACTGCTATTTCAGTCACTGTGTTTTTCTACTTCTAGGCACTGTGCAACAGGAATATAAAAAATGAAATGTTTTGTGAAAAGATTAGGACTTCCCAGTTCTGGGATTCCGGGTCTTTTTCCTGGTTTTCATTCCAGCTGAGATCTCAATTACTTAATTGAATCCTTAATTGAAGTAGAAATTTGCTTAATTAGACCTTGTTTCAAACTCCTCAAAGTTAGTTTTCAAATTACTTTTAATAAAACAGGTAATATGAATTTCCTACTGTGTAAGAGAGGAAAACAATTAAAAAGGTCTAATTGAGCAAATAGTAATGGAATTATAGGTTTTATTAAAAGTAACCAAAAGTTCAGTTACAGTATAAGGGAACAAAAACTCGAGGACAAGACACTTAAGGACCAAGAGTCGAAAGCCCTGCTATCTGCTTCAGTGTTTTACAGCCATGACCAGAAAAATCACCTAACTAAGTATTCCCCACCAGAGTGAGCAGAGTCACAGATCTTCTTTGCAACTAAGGTCTTAATTAACTTCTAAATGAATTAGATGACTAAACTGGAAAAGCCTTAAATTCCCAAACTCCCCCTGGAATTTGCAGATTTCAAATGTGCATTGACCATGCTGTTACACCATACTACCAATTTGCAAACGTGCTGAAAAGTAGACTGTTGTCTAAGGCAGTACTCATTCAACACAAATACAACACAAAATGTGTTCTATCAGTTTCTTCTCAATGGGTTCTGTGATTATACACTAATCAGTAAACTCACATGATTTTAGCTCTTCACACCAAGAACTTCACAACTGCCCTCTGACAGTCACATGACCATGTTAATTTAGCTCAGTACAACCAAATTCTAAGTGTTATTCCACTGTGCTTGCATGTGCAGCATGAATTTTTCGTATTGTTGCATATTGCAGAAACACAAAAATGTAAAATTTAAACAAAATTTAGATTCAGAAAATAAGCAATAAACTTCAGTAACAGAATAACAATTAGGAAAACGATGCTTAAATAAAACCACTTAACTTTTTTAAGTGTGACTAATATTTACAAGCCTTGTTTTTCAAAAAGCAATTACAATTATAAACACGATGAGCACAAAGCCCAAAAAACTAAACAAAAATACAGTAATCCAACAAAAATACAAAAATAGATCAACATGTAAAATACAAAAAACAGATGTAACCATGTACTTTACTGTTTTTTTTTTTTGGTTTATTAGGTATTATAAAAAAACCATAAGACATTTTATTCAAACTAAATACTCAAAACATCCCAAGGTGCCGTACACAAAGCAAATCAACAAATATTACTGTTTATATATACTATAGTTATAATATTATATATTACAAGTAGTTAGGTGCTCTATCATTCATTGCCTGACCACTTGACAGCTGTGAATATTACCACAAAGATGCTGAGCTATGTGCTTTCTAACCTTAAAAAAAAAATAAATTTGCTGATTCTGGGTATCCCTCTTACTAATGAAAGTAATCCTAGCACTCTCAGGTGGGACTGTATGATTTTAAATCTGATCATTAGAGAATTTCTCTGTGAGAGAGTGGTTATTCAATTTTGGCTATGGATAACCCTAATTTTATAGGTCACATACTGTATTTACCAAAAATTAAGGTTTTAAGGTGGTAAGCTGAACTTAGCAACTTCAAGTACAAAATATTTTATTTAGATGCACTTTTCAGTAAACTAGTAGCAGCGTACAATAATACAAAGTAGAAGCAAAAAAAACAGAAGTCCCTGAAGTTCTTGTGAGTCCAACTCACAAGCTCCGCATTAATTGTAGTATTAGTGCAACAAGCACATTAAGTTGTTAAACTGGGCTTGTGACTATGGGCTCACCAGCCAAATCACCACACCCCCTGGAATGTCGAGTAGACCTACAGAAAGGACTACATTAACTGAAGAAATCATCTTCACACCTTCCTTAGCATCAGGGCACAAGACGTGAAGGTTCTAGATAAAGGTTAAATTTGCACAGAAGCCCTGCTAATTAAAACCTTGTGGTGAAACAAAACATTTGAATCCAGACAGCCTGAAGGATACTCCTCAGTCCTCTTCTGCTTAACAGAAACAGTCAGATGAGATGGTCACAAATTAGGAAGAAAAACTTCATCTGAAAAAAATCCAGTCTCTAACCTACCCAATAATTCAAAGTTACAATCCCAGTACATGACAGAGGTTATACAATGGGAAGACATCAGAAATATTTGGTAAAGAATAGGTATCTATCAAGAAGTGGGATCATAAAGTAATTTGCAACTGCTAGGTGTGCTGAGATTCTGGTTTATTCTATTAGATTAAAAAATAGAATAATACAGTAATAGCACCAACTTGTATCCTCGTTGCATTGATACAATTGATTGACCTCACTACAGTACAGAATATATTAAACATTAAAATGAATGAAAAAGGAGTCAAATTCTACAGATATTCTAAGCCATTTTAATGAAAATGGTTTAAATATGAAAAACATTAAGGAGATAAAACAAATCTTGAAAAATCATACCTCAGTGTGAAGTATGAAGCTGTTTTGAATGGCAGTCTTCATTCTAACATTTTTTTTAAATAAAGGACTAGATATAAATTCAACTGAATTACTCATAGTGTATTTTAAGATGCCTTGTATTAACTTCATTTCATCCATTTGTGAGAATTTCACTTCTTTTCAACTTAGATCCAAGACATCCAGTATATACAGTACCAAAGTACGGTGAACTGAAATCAGATACAAATACTGTACGTTTGCAGGAAACATGGGAGAAACAGTATGTTTGTCTTTAACTTGTTTCAATATTCGGTCATTTAATCAACAAAATTATGAGATTTTACTTTTAGTATTAATTATAACTGCTTTTTAAGCTATTTCGAGTTGCATTCATTGAAGCTTAACCGTTTCACAGATAAAATGTTTAGCCTCTAAATAATGGGCAAATAACCTATAAAATATACATTATTTTTGTTCGTTCTTACCAGATTCAAGTTGGAAGTACAGTAGAATTAATGTATACTGTACATCTACAACTAGCGTACTAAATGTGCCTAATGGTAAACCGAGCTCTTCACGTCATTTTTATTTGTTTTACCATGTCGTATTGAGCCAGTACATACTACAATTATTTTGTATTTTCAATGTCACAAGTTTAAATATACCCCTTTTCTAAGGTAAATCTGTTTTGATCCTCCCTCAGTTCAACCAGGAAGAGAGTCAGCTATATATACAGTTAAGCCTCTTTCCCAGGCCCTACATGCGTTCAGTAGTTACAAACACAAAGAGGATTTTAGATACCATGGAAGTAAAGCTTTAAGTGAATAGGGTATTTTATTCCTAGATGTGTTCTGAAATTATTATTACTTTGTATCTTTTACCTGGAAGTTCAAGCGGCTCTTCTGTCTGCTAACGTTCTCTTGTCTGATTGTAAACACTCCCTGGTCATGCGGACGTGAAGGAGAACAGCTGACGGGACATGTGATGAAGGAGCTGAAGCTGCAATGCCGAGAGTCAGGAGCACAGGGCGCATGAGTGGACTGGACGGATCTTTTGGCAAAAATAAATTGCTGACGAGCTCTGTTTAAAGTTAACTGTCCGAACGGGTGCTTACTGCAAATCAAGCATGTTGTGCAAGTTCTTATTGATTTGTGTCGTGATGTCAGTTTCATTAACAAAATGTAATCTATGACGTTAAATTGATCGTTGTTTCGTTTTAAATACAGTTGACCTGTTTTGAAACAGGAAACAAGACGTGCATATTGTAATGTACAGTTTCTATTTTATTTAATATTTGATACATTTAGTAAGGAGACCGAATGAATGTCTTTTGTGCACCACTATTGTTTCTAGCGACTCCAGTTAAATTATTAGTCTGTGTGACTTGAGTCAAAGTTGATTCTGTTATCGGTTTTATTTGTTTTGTTGAACACTGCCAATACAATATAGATTGTGGACATTTTACAATACAAATCTTAAAAATATAAGAAGCAGCGCTTATGGAAATATATTTTAAATGAATTAAAGAGCAATTTTAGATTAAAATTATTTTAGCAAAGTAGTTGAAGACTTACAACAAGTAATACTTAAATATGAAATCAATACAGTTTTTTATATCAATATGATTACCTATACTTATGATGTCAAAAAAAAACTAAATTTCCCTGTAGAGAGAGCCTAAATGGTTGCCGAATAGAACTAAAAGCATGTCTTTGATACACCTCCATGTGAGGTCCTGATATTCTGTTCTCCTTGTAGATATTTCATTGGTATTGGATATGGCGGAAACGGCTTTAGATTTTTTTTAAACAAGGAAACATATTTTTAACAGTAGCAGGAACTCCCATTCCTTGCTGCGAGTTAAAGATTTCCAAATTTCAAAAGTGAAATAAAAAGGCAATGACTTAGAATCCAAAGCTAGTAATTGCATAATATAAGAAGGTTATCAAACGTGTAAAAAAATATTTAAAAAAAAAACAAAGCAACAATTTTAAGTTATTTTAGGTCAGAAACGGACCTATTAAAATTGTTTCCTGCCCATTGCTGAAAGTTCCTTTTCATCTTTTTTCAAGCAACTCTGGACTAATACTGATATACAAATGAACTTTATTCACCTCTAATTTCATAATGTAATACTGGCTTCATTATTTCAGAAAAAAATACATCTATTAACGTGGTGACAAAAAATGTACTGTAGCTGCCAAAATTTAGATATGTTACTGTATCAGTAATGCTGCACATCACATGTGTTGGCAAATTGTTGTTTCTATGCTGTAGCATCATGAAATGTCAGCCTATTCGTGGTTTCATAACAAGTTGCCTTATGAAAATACAACACAGTTGATACTGATTAATTCATTCATGGGTACATTAAATAAGATGGAAAATAACCAAAGCACACATTTTATATTTGTATTGCTTTTGAATTTTTTCTTTAATGTTCTTGTTGTTGTTTTTCATTAAGAATCTGTGCTAAAATAAAAACTTTAATTATTGTTAAAACTAAAAAGTAATTAAAATTTAAAATTGGAATGTCACGTACAAAATTAATTATAAATGACAGTAAATAATTATATTTATTTGATGGAAATGTAAGTAACTTGCAGATGGTTTTATGTTTAAGTCACTGATTTAATTTTCCTTCAATTAACCTCAAATACAGTTTTTGTAAGCATACAGTATTGTGATTCCAGAATGCAGAAACAAGATTTTAAACTTTTAACACAAACACATATATAGTGTTATACAGTTATATACGTGTATTTGCATATATTGTATTTATTTATGTGGGTGGCATGGTGACGCAGTTGTTAGCATTAATTCCTCACATTGATGGGATTGTGGGTTCAATTCCTGAGGTGCTGTCTGTGTGGAGTTTGCATATGCTCCCTGTGTTAATGTGGATTTCCCCCAGGTGCTCCCACTGTCCAAAGACATGCTGGCTGGTTAATTAGCTTCTGTAAAACTGGCCATGGTGTGAGTGTTTGTGTTTATGTCTGTGTGGCACTGCAATGGACTGGTATGCCACTCAGAGTACTAATGTATATATCTCACCTTGTGCCCAATGCTTTCTGGGTTAGGTTCTGGGCCATCCATAAGTGATTAATGAAAATAATGTATGTATTTCTATTTATAAATATTTTTTCCACATAATTATGAATGATTGCATTGTGGATTTTGGTGACATAAAACTACATCATGCATGGAGGAATTCAGTTTATAACCATACCTCTGCTGAGAACATATCCAAATGTAGGACAACAATTATATTTTTGTATCAAATCTTGTGGTAGGACAGCTTTTGTGGTCTCAATGGTTTATTTTTGATCCGAGTCAGCCCTGTAGACTTCTTCAGAACTCTACATGAACTAGAGGACACAAGTGGAAACTACATGATGTGGATTGCTCTCAAACTGATAACAGGAGACACTTCTTACACAAAGGTGCGTAGGAGTAAGGTACCCAGCTACTGTATGTTTTGGAATCTGATACACCGGTTTAAAAAAAACAGCTAAATGAGAACTGTGGATCGATTTGCTACTAACTACAAAAAATATTTTTTGTTTGTAACGTATAACATTATATTCTTATGTTCTTTGTATCTATATCTTCATTTCAATCCAAAGAGGTGATTATTTCTTGCAAGAACATTTTCTTTGGGGTACATTTTTTACTTTGAGAACCAGGACAAATAAGAATTGAGAGTCAAAATAAACTGTTCGAGTGGGCAAGGATCTGTTTGGAGAATTTCTTAGTTGAACTCAGAGAGTTTCTCAAGAAACTACTCTTATTAGATAAAATTATAAATTATATATTTTTTTACAATAATACCTTACTTGAAACCATCACAAAACATACAACAATCCAGTGTTCACTGGAATTTGGTGGTGGGTCACTATGTTTATGGAATCTGAAAAATTCTGTCCAAACTCCTTTCATATAATGCATGAAATACTGTAAGTGAAGCATGAAGCATTTTCTAAAGCATAAAAACTAAAACGGGCGATTTTTTAAATTCTGACATTTAATGTCAGTTAATTTATGATGGACAAAAATACTGTCATACTGATCTATTTTGTGGAGATTATACAATTCCTATACTTTGTGTCTCTTACCACTTATAAGTTATAAGTAGAACTATACAATAAAATTATGCCTGCTTTTACAGTTTTTAAGTATTTTAATTTACATTGATTTTATTTAGCATCCCACAACAAGTCAGAAACAACATCCATAACCGGGTGCCCTTATAAATACTACTGAATATGATAAAAGTGATGCACAATAACTGTTTATAGCAAAGGTTTGCATGTTCATGGCCATATATTATATTAACAATTTCCAATCATAAAGAGTAAAACTAGGATTTTTATTTTTAATACTTACAAGCATGAAGTATTTTATTAATTGAATACCATTTTAAACCATGTATTTGCATCTGTTTCAGACAGAAAATCTGTAAATATGCAGCATCTGCCTTGATTTAGTGTTTTTATTAGTTTTATAACTGTTTGATACCTCTTTAAATGTCCCTACATCTCCCTGGGTTCTCCTAGCTCTTTACATCTCTGAAGCAAAGTGATCATTTTGAATAAATGAAAGCATTTCTCTGTTGTTGGCATGCACTCTAATGACAATCAGTCACCACAGGGTTACTGTACCGGGCATTGTAATATCTGAGTATGGATCACTTTTAGGATACAGCTTAATATTACTGTCTCATACTGCAACTCTGCTGGTGTTATTACTTGATTTTAATTGTAATGTTAAATGTGAACAATGTGGATTTTAAACCACAATTAAACACCTGCTATATCCATCGTCTCAGCTACTTAAGAATACATTTAGCAGTTATCGTTCTAGTTCCTAATTCAAATATTATATTCCCACAAACGACTATCACAATGACAGCTTTAAAACATCACTAAAGATAGAAAAACAATGGGTTGTATTTTGAAGCATTTATTGTGCTCTTAAGGATAAAAAAGTCTTTACTCCAAAGCGTAACACTACTAATGGGAACTGGTTTTGAAATAGTAAGATGAATAACATTTTTGTTTAAAAATAATTTTTAGTTTTAAATTTCATAGTTGAAATTACAGACAAGAATAGTCTGTACTGTATGTGTATTTTTCAAAATGTTCGCTTAACATCTTATATAATTTTACCTTCTTTCATGGATTCTTTAATCCTCAAGAACAAAACCTGAGTACATTTTAAAGTAATTAAAAGCACCTGATGAACATGCCCCACCAAACCTGTAATGCTGAAAATGCTATCCTTTCTTCTATATTGTTTGCATTTAGAAGGGATAAGAATCTAACTTGCTGAATAAAACAAATTTATCTTTGAAGCATAACACATTCCACATAGTCAAAAGTGCCCCCTCATGCTTTAGCAGGTGGTACAACAGACATAACCAGTGACTTAGTTCCCTTTAAAATGGTTAATTTACTCTTTTTATTTCTGAGTAATCATCGTAATTTGTATTTTCTAATGTATTTGAGTTAAACATTTCTCACTAATTTATTTTCTTATGTGACATTTCTTATGAACATTAATATTTCAATTTGCCTTGTACTAGGCCTACTAGTCCACCTGTATTAGCCTTGCGCTAGGTACAATATTATATATATATATTATGTATTAATAACCCAAAACAAGCAGGGATGTGGAGGTTTCGTATTCATATCTGAATATTTAGGTTAGCATAAAATGATAAAGTATATAATAAAATAGAGAAGTGCAACTGAAAGTATTTGTGTAGCCCTCTATTAAGTGGAGTCTTTGTTTAAATGTTACTCATTACAGGCATCATTATAACAAATGATTACTACCTATGATTACTAATTGTTTATACAGTACTTAGCTACAGGCCATAACTATGGCTACAATGAAAGATATTTACGTTATATATTTTTAAATATGTTACCTTTTTAAAAAATATTTATTTTATTATTTTATTT